GCCTGAGAACTGGGACAAGTGTGCTAGCTAGGAGTTGGATCCACTATAATAAGATTATCCCAGAGCTATACAGACCTCAGCAAGCGGCTATTTTAAGCAGGGAATAACAGAGAACAAGAGCAAACAGCCGCAAAATATGTCCAGCTGTCTCCATTTCTGGAATTCCAGGGTGGACAGTGTTGCTGTGGTGTGCTTACTGTCAGCCTCAGGTAGGACACATCCCTTTCTTTCCCTTCACCCTCTGCTTTCTCTTATTTTTGACAACTTTAATAGTTTAATAAATATTTTAGAGTATAACTATAAGCTTTAATCCTAAACTTGGCTTGGAAAACACAAACCATAAGCCTACTGGCAAGAGGCAGTGAGTTATTTCCAACATAATTGTTTCCACAGGATACCACCTGGTATGTATTTGCTCCACTTTAATAGTCTCCAGTGGTTTAATGTGATATATTCAAATCAAACCACTAAGCCAAAGTGCATACAACACTTAAAAAATATATTCAGAATAATGCACAGCACTTTTTCTATCTTTCAGCAACTACTTGATTTCTTATTCAAGTGCTACCAACTCACCACTGTGAGCAGTGCTAGTGCACTGCTCTTGGAGTGGACTCTCCTGGCTCTCTCAAGCACTTCATCAGCTGCATGTAGAGGAGATAAAACCTCTACCCCTTTCTTTTATCCTTGAGCATGACTTTCTCCTTCGACTATAGACATTGTCAAAGATGGGTTGAGAGGATCTGAGAAGAGAGTCTACAGTTTTCTATTCTTCATGTTGATAGCTGAGTGTGGTTTTGTTCTGTGAATAAGGCCTTATGCCTTATGTTGGAGTGCCTTCAGCATCAACCTAAAGCCAGAATCAGAATAAACATGTCTGCTTCCAGATGCAAAAAGATCTTCTTCAAAAACTTTCACAAATAGTCCTGCAAGGAAAACTAAGTTATTATTGCCTATTTCTTTATTGAATAAATGTGGTTAACATCTTATAAGAGTTTTCCGTTAAAGTGACATTTTGTGACAAGCCAAGAACTAGACCATAATCTTTAAGTCTGTCTGACTAACACTTGGAGATGGAGTACTTTCCTCTGCTATACTGGTGCACTGTTATTTATTTTTCTGTGATGGGATATTATGATCATATATATTATAAATCTTTCCTGAGGCAGATTTCAGTGACTTATAAGAGTTTATCTGGTCAAACTACTCATCTGCAGTCAACAATACAAATATATAGAGATTATTTTGAAAAACAATAACAAGTAAGTTAAGTACTTTTTATATGTATCAAGAAAGAAGATAAAACTATTGTGAATTAGTTTAAGGATTTTAACCAAAAATCAGTGAGAAGGCTTGGAATAAACTTCTACTTTCAGCATCTCAGATGTAGAGAAATTAAAAGTCATTGTTATAAAGTCCTAAATTCTCTAGACTTGGATTTATTTTATGTACTGTTGATTGGATATCAGAGTTGGTCCCTACTGAATATTCTTGTAAAGGATTTCAAAATAACTGAAATAAATTGTCACAAAATTTTAGTGAAGTAACATTATTGTGTAGCTCTTTCCACTTCCCTTTCTCTCCTTTTCACCTTCTTTTTGGATCAGTGTATGTAAGAAAAAGATTACAGTATAGAAAGAGGTTTTAGTAAAATTAAAATATATCCTTCTCATGTAACCTTCATACTGACTTGAAAGGGACAGAACAGACTCTTCACACCACAGTGCACTAGTTTGGAGCTTTAGTGAGCATCACAAGAGATCACTTCTATGAATAGCATCAATAGGGGACATCAAAAGCCACAAGCATCTAAAACTGAATTTGGTGAAAAGATTTAAAAATTATTTAAGTTATTTTGATTTAATGACAATTTGACCAGACACAATGGTCAAGGTTTTTGGCTTGATCATCAGTGATATTTAGCACTGATACCAGTAGCAATTATTGCTTTTGTCTTCCCATTTGGACAGCCAGATTCTTTTAAAATGTAGCTTCCTTAGCTGATTTTTTTAAGCATTGTAATAGTCTTGACTTGTACAATCAAAGTGCAATAAAGAAGGAGCAGAAGAGGGTACAGAGGTTTCCCCATGTGTCTGTCTATCTGAACCACCAGGGGGGACTAATTCCTCATCTATATCTTTACTGCAGCAAGTGTCTGAAAAAAACACCTATGCTCGAACCACGTCTAGAAAGTCACTGAGTTCAACAGAGAGGTTGTCTTCGTTTATATTAAGAGAGCTTTTATCTAAAATCTTGTAAATTTGCAGTGCTCTTTCCAGTCTGTGCAGCAATGCCAGCACAAGTCTGGCCACAGAGGGACGCACGTTCAGCTGCGTAATCGTATCTATCGATAGAGTACGGTCAGTGCCATCTCATGACTTCTCCAGAAGTGGCCTGTGACTTGTGCTAAATCTATTGGACTGACGGAAGACTCAGCAGAGAGCCTGGCTTGGCTTCTTACTGCTTAAACTCACTCCATACCGGTGACCATGGCTTTGTGATTGAAAGGAATATTTTTTTGACTGTACGTGCACAAGGCATCTCTTCTTTGGTGGCTGCTTAATCACTCCTTTGTGGCTGTCTCACTACTCCATTTCTTTTTTCCAACTATTACAGCCTTCATGATTTATTTCAACTTCACTGCATATTTTACTATTTTTAAGCAAGATTTGACCATCTTGAAACAAAACTGTGTTATTGCTATGATCACAAAGGGTTAATATGTTTTATAGTATCCTGTTAAACAACAACAAAAATCTGCGTGTGAAGTATGTACTCTGGAGATCTGTCAGAAAAGTTGTATAATTTTGAATTTCTACTTAAAAGCCGAATGCTAGAAGTTTCTTTAAATTTTGAACTCTGTCAGGCTACTGGGATTCTTCTTGTGGTCTATAGAAAGATTTGGAAATACTGAGGAGAATTCTCTGGCCACATAAATTTTTCAATTTTTTATTTTGTGAATTATTACATGTATGAACTCATTAGTTGGTGCTTTCAGGCACTTGTAATTGAATTCTCACCTTCCTTAACTAGTCTGGGAAATCTGCCCATCTTCTGGGCGCAATCAGTCATAGTTTTGTGCGTGTCATTATTCTGAAATTATCTTTTGTGTTACATGCTCAGACTTCTGAAAACCAATTTCCTAATTTTTTACTATTTTACCTTTTTAATATGTAAAATATTACTCTGGTATACATAGAATTTGTGAGAATAAAAGCTTTTAGACACTGTGATGGGAAGTGGGAAGAGTCAGAACAATTGATTAAGTTATATTTGTTGTAATTTTTAATGAGTTTCCTGCTTAACACAAACTCAAATACCTGTGTATTTTATATACTGCTTCTTTTTTTAAAAAAAACCCTAGACAATTCCTGATCTAAGAGGAACCTGCAGATATACATACAAATCAAAAAGGTAGCTTGTGAGAAATAATTTAATTTCTGTAAGTAATTCTCCCATAAATTCAGTAGGTTTCTATATTTTATTATAGTGAGAAAGAAAATTTAATTGTTTCCTGTCAGTTAGATGGTGATTGTGCTCTCTTGATGAGGTATTAGCCTTTATTTGATCTGTTTCTGTAGCTGGGACTAGCAGTGTTGCCAGGTTTGTGCAGTAAGTGCTGACCCAGTTTGGTCAACATAATTGATATAACAGATACAGGCAAAATATGTTATTCTTTGTGTAATGCACTAACAGACAGAAATAAGGGGATGTATCTAAAGTGCTTTAAGAGTTTTTGTTTCGGTGTCTCAAACTTGAGTATCAAAATCTGCAACCTGAACGTTTTCAGCATCTGTGGTGGTTTGGGCTAGGCCTTCCTTGGTGACCAGTTTATAACCAAGGAAGGGTCCAGATTTACCCAGTATTCCCTACGATTTTTACGTAAGCCAGATTATAAGAAGAGAGGAGGAGAGGCCTTCGCTCTTTTCCTTCCGGCGGCTTGGAGGTGCAGGTTCCCTGCTGTTGAGTCTGCCGTGTTGGGGAGCGAGGCCTGGTAAGGCCTTGTCGACCTTGGGAGACGGAGGTTGCCGGCGATCGTTCCGGAGCGACTCTCAGTTGTCCCAGGGGAGTAGTGAGCTATTTTTCTTTGCTAACTTTTTAGTTGTTAGATATTGGGTCTTGGGATATCTATATATTTTATTTTAGTTTTGTTCCCTTTCCTTTCCCCCTTCCCTTTCCCTTGTGAAATTGTATATAAGTGTAAATATATTTATATATCTCACTTTGGTTGTCTCTCTCTCGTTTCGGGGTTTTCTTAGTTTTTTTCTCCCTCTTCTCCCTGAGGTTGGGGGGGGGGAACTTCTGGTGGTAAGGTTTGGAGACTTGGCAGGGAGCCAGCTTCAAACCATATCAGCATCCCAGGATAAAATCAGGTTGTAACCTATCTTCAGTTGTGACAGGTAGATTCTGTGTTCTTATTTGAAACATCCCAATCCAAATTTGACTGCTTTTGTTAGTAATTGACTAATATTCAGGGTCCACCTCGACCCAGCCTTTGCATGGCTCTGTGCTCTTGGGCAAACCATACAGTGCTGCTTCTCCAACAGAGACTGTGGGGAAGTCTGGGAGAAGGTCACAGAGAGACTCTGGTAGGCAACTGTGGGAATTATCAGTTGTAATTTCATGAATTTTTAAGTTTTCTCTCCCTAAGAAAAATAACTCTGATAGATACAGCTTTGAAGGTGGTAGCTGTCATCATGCAGGACATCAGTGGTTCTACTCAATAACATGTCAGATGGTTGTGTTCAGCTCCATTTGGAAATATATCATGTAATTACAAATTTCTAGTGTGTTCTTAAAGCACGGTGAGCTTTGTGAGAAATTACTATGAAAGCTTGTGAGAGTTACTGACTACATATTGATAAAAGAGTGGTCTTGGTTTTCATCAATTTTTCTTTTCTTTAATAGGTACAGGAAACTCTGCGTTTGAATTTATGCCTTTAAAAATGTTACACTTGATGACTCAACTATACTTGCCCTTTACATACTTCTGGTAATCGTGTTTTTATTTCCGTTCCCCTTTTCGCACAATTTTCTCTTTCACTTTTCACCCATGGCTTGAGCTGCGTTGTCTGGGGAAAATATAGCAACAAAAGCAGAAATTCTTTTTCTTCACAAAATTTATTGTGATGATAACTGAGGTTGCTGCAGTAGGATTAATTAAGATTGCAGAGAATTTGAAAAAATATCTGAACTTTCCCTGAAAACATGTGACTGAGGATGACTGTGCTGAATTTTGTTCCTCTTTCCTCAAAACAGAGTTTTATTCTGTTAGATACTGAGCAAAAAAAAGTGATTATGTTTGGACTCTTTTTTTTCACTTTATTCACCTCTGGAGTTGGTGAATTTCTTTGTACGTCATCAGATCTTGAAATGTCGTATACTTTTTGTGGTAAGTAAAATATAGCTAATTCTTTTTCTAAGTTTGCATGATAATTACTGTAGACTGAGGAAATGCAAATTTTCTTTCAAATTTCTTTCTTTGATGAATACAGAAAAATACAAAAAAGTTCAGCTGAAGTCTATTTCTGTTGTTAATTACCATATAACAGGAATTATACTTCATAGGCATAAATATTACCACAATGCTGGTTCTAGCAGCTAAGACAGAGAATTTTATCCTCAAGTAAAGCAGGCATATTTTGGTTCAGGAAATATTAGAAGACAGTGAATTTAAACTTAATTTTGCAATTACTCTATTGTATAAATTATGCAAATTGAGTTAACAAATATATTACAATTAAAAGGTTGAAGTATATGTAAAAGAGGAGGGAATGTGATATTCTGCTTTTCTGGAGTATCAGGTTTTGGGACAGCATAGTGCGTACCTTCTTGCCATGTCTGTGTCATGGGCTGATATTTTGCATATTCTAAAAATGCTAGGTGGTCACTCATAGAGCAAATATACTCAAAGATTCATTTACCTTATCCTAGAAAATATGCTGTTACATTAAAAACATTTTTAGCTGTTGTCAGCAGGTTTATATAGGTTCCATGGTTAGCATAAGTTGGGATATTTTCAGCAGAGGACCATGCTAGTTTAATGCTACTGAAGATTTTGTGTATTATCAAAAGACAAATAAAGGCATTTTTGCCTGGGTTTTGTGTGCAAAATATCATCAACCAAAAAAATTGAGTTTTCTTGTTACTTAAAGAGGTACTATTTTGGTTTTGCCCTCTAAGCATATAAATAATTAATAATAAAATTTAAAATACATGTTTAGTATTTACTACAAATATTAGACAATTTTATATATTGTCTAATATTTTTAATATTATCTAAGACGTATATATTGTATATAGCTTATATTAAATGCATTTTAAAATGTGTGTTTGTTGTGAGTGGGTAAATACATATATTTTTATTATTTCCATGGAGAAACCTATTCACAATATCAGTTTGAAATATTGTTTTCCTATAGATTCTACGGCTCATGCTTTTGTGTTTAATTTGACACCTTGCAGCATCATGAAAACAAACATCTGGAAGGCTACTCTTAACTGGATTCCAAGTGAGTCTCTCTTAACTAGACAATTATAATTTGGAAATGCAGAAAATCAAGTACAAGTGGAAAGCTGGCACTTCATCCAAAATGCCAGATGATTTAGGAAATCAGTTTCTGTGACTGAAAATGGAATGGATAAACTTGGATAATGATGGACAGAAATTATGATCTGTGAAAATAAGTGTATTTGAGTTTTACTTGTTGGAGCAGTTACTAGAGCCCTGCACGGAGTCTGGCACTGTATGTGCAAATCTGAGGTGGTTTAGGTGTATGTGCATTTGTCTGGGAGAAGCAGACAAGGTTTGCCGCACACAAGCTCTTCTGGCCTGAAGAAGTCCCAAGTCTTTTCAAGGAGAGAGAATATCATTAGGAGATCCAAGTATGGCAGAACTTCTGTGAAGAATATGTGTCTTCCAGAGGCTGGAAATGGTACTAGATTTGTGTTTGAACCCAACTGTAATCTTTAAACCCAGCTTTAAGCTGGCAAAGCTGAGTTAATGAAATGTTTATGAAATGATTGTATCAAAAACTTCACCTTCTGAATATAAACTCTGGAGGTGGACTAGGTTTTCTTCCTTAGAAAGATACCTTTATGATGGCTATCAGCATTCAGGACATGCAACATGTGCCTAAAAGTAAAGCCTTCATCTGAGCATGTGTTTAAGTTAGCTGTGCTGTTATCTTTGCTGAAGAAATTAAAACAGATTTTGAAATTAGTCACTCAAATATTTTTTAGATTTTTTTTTTTTTTTAGAAAATTATCTCTTTTTTTTTTTTTCCCTGAATGTAACAGTTTTCAAGATACATATTTTTGCCAGTTTTGGGGAGAATCTTTAAAAAATATTGTATTTCAGAGAAAACTATTTTTTATCTAAGTGGCATGTCTGCATATGTGTTTTTTCTCCCTGCTAGATATCATGTCCTTACTTGCAATGTTTTGATTAGGAAGTGACATCACCTTTTTGAAGATTGTCTTCCATGTCTGGCACGACGGTGACAGAGCGTTTCACTGGAAGCATCTCCTGTGCAGTGGAACTGACAATGAATACTCATCGTGTGAAACGCTGAAAGGAGGTCGGTGTGCCATCAACCCATGCAAACAGATTTTTCTCTCCACAATCTAGGCCTTGCTTGGCAGGCAGCAGACTTCAGAGCAGCCAGTTCTCCAGTGCCAAAACCCCATTAAAAGAGAGAATGTCCAAAGTCTATGTTTTAACATCCTTGTACTGCAGTTTCCATCTCCATAAATGATAATTACTAATATCCTTCATCTCAATATGACACTTATTATTAACATTTATAAAATGACATGAAAAGACAACATTTGACTGAACTGTACAGAAAACTTGAGAGGGACTACCGGCACTACTAATATCCAGAACACAGGTTATTTAGGGTTTTTTAAGAAATTCTCTCCACCGAGGTATAATGCCTTTTTTAATAGAGAAGAGTCAATCCTCTGGTAGGGGCTACCCAGCATAAATGTGACACAGGCTCAAATCCAGAGAATTCAGGCAGGATGTCAGACTTAAGGCCAAAAAGGACCTGTGAGGAGGCGAAAATACGCAGTCTATGTTTTTCTTTCTTTAAAAATCTGTATCAGTTCTCTTCGGAGTTAACACAGTAAGATGTGTTTGGAGGAGATGGTGGAGGAGCACTGTGGTTAATTTCTATTTTCTAACGTTATTTTGACAAATAGTCAGAGCTCTGAGAGAAAACCAGGTGAGTGCTTTGTCAGTGGAAGAGTAAATGACATTGGCAACTGCTGCTGAGAGATATACCATATTGCTTTGAAGTTATTTAGGCAGTCTGATTGATGACTTTATGGTTAAGTAACCATTTGTGTTATAATTATCTCTGTTTTACAGAAACACTTGTAGAAGAATTTGACATTAAAGGTTTAAGAATACAATTTCTAAAGGTACTTTCTGACATTTTATATAAAGAAATAATAATAGTAAAATTACATACTTACAGGTGTATATTTTCTGAAAAGACACATTCACCCAAACTGTAGAAAACAGAAGAGGAAATGTCAGAACACTTTCTCATGTTTGAAGTGATGAGTCTAAAATGGTAGCATCCTTGAAATGCTGGATGTCCTCTGGTTATTATTTCTCTATTATTCCTCCCTTATTTTATAGAAGAAAAGACCAAAGAAATCAGTTAATGTCACCTTAGAAATCAGTTAATGTCACCTTAATAATTCCATTTTAATTGGTAAATTGTGTTTCCTTTTACCTGTTTGAGTAAATCCATTCATATTTTTTCTGCCCATTTTGTTCTTTATTTTACATTCTCTTCACATGCTGGTCTGTTGCTCCCTGAAACCATTTTTGAAGATTTGAAAAGGGATAACAATATCCAAAAGTAAAAGCAGTACTCCAGTGTTAAACCAAGAGCAGCATCAGTCATCAGGTTGACCCAGTCTCTTACAACACCTGCCCCATCAGCTGCCTGAGCCTTTCGAAACCCTTATCGTCCCTATTAATCCCTACAAATGTCACTAAGGAGCTCCTACTAATACAAAATCTCCAGCCTCCCCTTATCCCAAAGCCCATGGGCCTCTAACAGTGTTGGACTCCATCCAGCCCAACACCTCTTGTAACCCCAGAGCTGGTAGTGGAGAGGAACATCCCCTGCCATGAGCAGTCCTCCAATAGATGAAGTGCTTATGGCAGACCTGACACTTCCCCATAGGACTCTACTAGACCAGAGACTGCTGTTCCTCTGTACTCTGGTCATAAGAAGAAAGTTGAGAACTATTTTCTTTATATATACTCATGTATCTGACTGTACTCATGAGAACAGTCCATGATGGGAATGTCTTTTTCAATCCTAACAGAAATCATTAGAACCATTCCAAGAAGCTACTTAGACAAGAGTGGGCAACACTGTGCACTAATTTTCTTGTTTTTTTCTTGCTTGATTTAGGGCAATTATAATATTATTATACAAGGATTCTCTGATGATTCTGAGAATAATATGGTCATATGCTTGAATTTCACCATGATAGTAAAACAAGATGTTTACTGAGTGCGACAAACTTTTCAAATAATTCAAGAACACTGAGGTAACTTCTGCAAGCAACTGGAATCCAAGCTGCAAAGTAATAAGCAAACTAAATTTCCTGAGGTAGAATACATCTTGTGCTGTCTGGAAAGCTATATGATATATAATCTTACTCGTTTATAGAACTACTGTAATCAGATGCTCAGCCAACCTGCACAAAATCTCCGGGTACCAGGCATTCTGATTAATCCACAGAATAACCCTGACTGGATGGCAGGCTGAGGACTGCATTTTGGTGCTGTGCCTTGAGTTATGATAAAGTCAAGTTCTTCAGACTGAGCTAAACTAATCACGAAGTTTGGAAGTTTTGAAGTGCAAGAATCAGAAGTTCATCAGTACTCAATTTAAAATACAGCAATTGAATTTTGGAACCCTGCCATAAGTTGTTGGGTTTTTTCCTTTTAACAATAAAACTTTTTTGTACAATCAATTTGAGAAATGTTTTTTATTCTCCTGTTTTCTGATTACCTTTGGATGTTTCCTAATGTTCTGCTCTTTTTATACCAAGCTAAAACAGAGGAGTAACAATTTGTTATGTGGTTCTAGCTGATGTGAATAACATCCAAAGTGGAACGTTTCCAGTTGCACTGATACACTACAGCTGAGTTTAGCCATCCAGAGCCCTGAACTGCAACCTCGTAGAATGCTTTTAGCTCTTGCTCAGAGTCCAAGGGGCAGAGGCTATATGAGCTGTTTCCTTCAGATGCAGGAGGATGGTGTCACCCAACAGGTTGATCTGTTCCTCATTTATTCCTCAAAAGCATGTCTAAAGCTTTTGCTGTGGCTTTTGCCCCTTGGGAAGCCCAACAGTGAGTATCCACCTGCCCTCTCTGCTGCACCTCCACACCCTAGACCTTGGGTAAGACTTTGGTGGAGTATGAGATTTGATTCTCAGGAATAATGCTGTCCTCTTCATCCTCAGCCCCCAGCCAGTGGTTGCTTAGCGGGTTCAGAGAGTTTTCCCCAACTGATAGGACATTGTTGAAGTTGCACTTCGTGCTGGCTGCTAGTTTGTGCTGTGTGTAGCAGATTGCTTCCAAGTGCCTGAAAAAAATTAAAAACTAGAACAAACGAATACTCGTTCAGTCCACTAAATATCAAGCATAAAAATTAGCAGAAGTGAAGCTTTTAATCTCATTTTACACATAAGGAAAGATGTTTTTCAAATTCGGTATGAGAAAACTCAACAAAAAAACCCCACATCCAAGTATGCAGATACTCCATTTAAAACTTGGTTTTAGTATAGCTAGTTTGGCTAAATAAAGCAAAATCATCAAGAGTCTATAAAAATAGAAGTAGAATTTCATCTTGACTGGAGACAAGAAGCTGTGATTACATCCAAGTGGTGATGGCAAAGCATCTGTGCTTGCCTTCAGTCCACAGACCGTTGCAGGAGTAGGCCATGATGGAATGCCGTAGCAGCTTCTGCTTACATTTGAGCTAATTTACTAGAGTTGTGATAAATTTTTTCTTAATCTGAAATATCAGTCAAAAAGCAGCCAGAGAACATGATAAGCAATACCTACTTTTCTTCTTTTTGAAATAGTATTACTGGTTAGGAAACAATCTTACCTTATGATCTCCCTTTGTACACATCTCACATCATTCAGCGACTACTGGCTGAAGTCTCAAAACCATTTTTAATGACAAAGTAATCTGAAATATTTGCTGGCTTGAATTATTCAGGATATAAGAAGAAATGTTTTGTTTATTAAGCAGCAAAGTACCACAGGTGGGAGAGACTAACAGCTCCTGAAGATCAAACACATCACATACTCTTATGGATATTACAGAAAATTTACAGTATATGTAAGAGTATAAATAGAACTTGTGTCTCTAAATAGAGACATTTACAGATAAACATTAAGCATTCAGTATCTTTCATAGCAGACTTTTATAGTGTAGATCTTCAGCTGAAGGATTATGATTGCACATGTCAGCAGATAGGATTGCAAGGCAAAGCACAGGAGCCACACTTTATAAAGCAAAGACCTTTCAAAAGTCCCAAGGTTTTTCCTGTGTACAATCAAAGTATCCACTTATTGCAGCGCTGGTGGCTGCTGCACCACATTCCTCCGTGAATAAGAGGAGGCAGATTTTGGAAGATGTGAGATCACCCAAACAGCTTACCCTAAAATCGCCGTGATATTGTAAGGGTGAAGGGCAGAGCTGAAGGCAGAACTTTTCTCTGCATGTCAGGTTCCCAAGACAGAGCTGTGAGAAGGCTTTCCTTCCTCCCTTCTGCTGTTGTCCAGAGTTGACAAGAGTTATCACTTTATGTTCCTCTCCAAACTTTCCTGAGCCCATATTCAGGGCTCTACAGCAGAGAGGACTCTATTTAGGATGAGGTGAATTACTCAGACCCTGTAAAGACTAATCTGAATGTTTCCCTTTTTTTCACTTTATTGGCTAGTAAACTTTGATTAATTTTTTTCTTCTTCTTTTTCTGCCTCTGTCCAGACTTGGAATGATGTGAATGCTGTGAAGTGAAACATTAAGTGAGTATTTCTTTCTTGAAATATTCAGTGAGACCTACGTGGCTTGAGATTTCTGTGTTTTGCCAGGAGTTCCAGGGAGCAGTGCAAAGACCCTCCCGTGCAAACTGAAGCAAATCAAAGAAGGCCTTATATTTGACATACTTGTCTGAAAATAATATCTAAAGCTTTCACAAATATCTCTTTTTTGTCTTCCTCATTACTGTTGTTTTTAAGCAGCTGTCAGGATTTGCTGCAGATGGGAAAATAGCTTTTCTTCACCCCCTCACCCTCTGTCGCCAAATATGTAATTATCAGAAGAAGCAGTTCCTGTACAACGTGGTTTCCAATAAGAATGCACACTTTTTGAGCTGTTATTACAGTTTCATTTGATAAAAGCAGTAAAGCATACATAATTTCAGATCAGAGAAGTCCTGCTGACCACAATAATGTGTACATTTGATGGTTGAAATTGTAACATCATTTGAGATTGACACAGAAAGAAAATTCCATGTAATTCAGGTATTGCTACAGCATATCTTGTGTTCCGGGATGTACTGGAAGGCATAAGCAATCCTTCAGTCACCAGTCAGCTTGGCTAGCAAAAAGCACACATACTCATACAAATAAACTATGCGGTGCCTGCAGCAAGAAGAAGTTGGACTTGATGATGCAGGACATGTGTCCTGATCTGCATTACAGGCATCAAAAGAGAAACATAGCAGCATTAATCCCTTTTGCATGATTTTGTTCTTGGGCAAAAATGCTAGCAATTGCCTTGGAAGGGTCTATGTAACATATTATGCTGAATGACTTCAGCTGCTTCATTCTGCCTGCGTGTCCTTGCCAGCACAAGTGAGTTCAGGGGCAGCAGATGGGGTAGTGACATTTCTAATGAAAGAGATAGAGATGGAGGGAGGGAAGGGAGGGGGATTCCTGCCTGCAGAGCTTAGGGGAGAGAGGAGAGGAAAAAGGAAATTTGGAAAGTCTTATTGCTGGCAATAGAAATTACTGGACTTTGGAAATCCCGGATAATAGTCAGTGTGCACATGTACTTGTCTTGTGGATCCCAGGCATCCTTGTAGATTCCTTGGTGCATGGTTGCTGTAGACGTGTATGTTCATAACCTCTTTTCTTCAAGATGTATTTAACTACTGGCAAAGAGAGAACTTTTATATATGTATATAAAATATATATATTTAATATATATACATATATATATACGTGCATACATGTATTTGGCCAGGTAGTTTATACAGCTTCCCAAACTTTCTGTCTGGAAAAAAAAACAAAACAACAAACCCACAATTTTTTTTCTTTGGGCTTTAGCCTAAACAGCTACCTTAGCTACAAGTGTTGTGTTTTTAAATTTAAATTTCTTGCTAACATAAGTTCTTATGGCCATAACTAAGGAAGCAAAACTTTTAATAGCAAGTTTGACTCTTTGCTCACAGTAGGGAACGGTCACTCAATTCTATGTATTAAGGTTCCTGTCCCCCCATTTTCCTGTGCTGCACAAAACCTTTGAGTACTACAGAGTAGATGACATTTTTTTCTTAACTTTTGACTTCTGCTAACTAAGCACATCCACTGTGTGTTTTGTTCTCTGAGAGGTTTGGCATCTCTCCTGAAGAAGTACCTCCATACTGATTATGAAGCTGGTTTAGTTCTTATATACATTCTGTTCAGCCAATTTCATTTAGATTTTTCACTGTATTACCCATAATTTTTGTATTTTTAATATAGCAATGTAGTTTAACAATTTCAGTAATGCAAATTAAGATAAAAACCAACAATCACACAAGCCCTACAATAAGTAAAGATAAATACAGAAAAGCAAAATTTTAGCATTAGTCCTTTGAAAGCAATAGAATTAAAATTCTACCCTTCATTTATGAGATGCATAAAGGGAAAAATAATAGAACAAAACACAGTGCATATGTTGTTCACTTTGACTTTGAATTAATTTGACCCTATTTTAGAATGATGTGGCTTTATTTCACATCTGAAAATCAGCTGAACAGACTGTTCAGTTATCTTTTCTAATCATATATCACATTGAAGCAATCTGCTCTATGTCGGTGCATATTGCATGGAGTGGAATTTTCCTTATATCTTTAAAGTAGTAAAGATGCTTAAAAGCACAGACATAACGTAGATAGAATAAGGAACATCATTAATGAAAGTTTCACAGATGACTGCCAGCAAATAAACCGTCAGCAGCAGTATTCCTTTCTGATTCCGTAAGCTACCTTCCAGTGACTCTGACTGCTAGTTATACAGATTCTCCAACCTGTAAAAGTTTTGATGATTTTAATATTCTAATAAAGGAGGAAAGGGTATCCTAAAGAAAATCTAAAGTAATAGCTTATCTAGAAAAATCCAAAATATTAAAATGAAGAAACAGTATTGTCAGATGAGTAATAAGGACAAAAAAAGTGGTTGTGGGAAATAAATAATTTTGATAGCTGCAGAGTGTTGTGTATTTGTTTTGACTAAATAACTTA